TTCATGAAAAATGAACAGTTTTTATCAACATTTGATAATAATTTATGCAACCATAGTGTTAATTTTATAATTACGTAATATGTAATCAAACGAGTTATCAATGCAAACCAATATTTCAACAATCATCATTTCATGAAGTTTTACCTGTGTCTCGTGCAAAATGGTTCCGTGAGTTCTTTTATTTTGATTTTGTGAAGAACGGCATAAAATAAAATCATATTGCAAAATTCTAGGAAATCTGAGAATTTGTTTTAATGGTAGCCAGCCACCTTTAAACACGGAGGTGAAGGTTTTCGACTTACTCTATTAATTATTGCGCTGGTACGCGTCGCTTTACCCTTTGATGTTACAAATTCGATATACATTTACAAATCCCGAATACGACAACACTGCTATTAGTGAGTATACCCTATAGCATATACATTATCTGAATATTCATTGGACGTATCGCCTCCCAAAGCGTGACCGAGAACGTGACTATCCCACAAAGAACACGATATACATCTTTAATAAGTCATTCAAACATTAAATGCCACTTAAAAAATCTAGTGTATCCACCATGATCACGGATTTCACCTTGTAATAAAAACATACACAAAATGAGATATTGTCATTTGAAAAGATACCGACAGCAGAAGAATTGGAATTTTCAAGGAACGTGTTTTTTGTCGTCAACCGCGTACGTCGACGATTATGTTTATTGCGACCTATGAGATAAATGTCATACTATTACAACGTTCTTAATGAAGCAATATCTATATATTAATATATAATTGACTTATTGACAGCACGCCAACGTAAAGCCATTTTCAAGAAGCAGCGAGTGGAAATACGGGTTATTGGGTCGCCAAAGATTATTATGCGGAAAAATGGTGTTCAATTTGGGTTCTATGTGACCTATAGATTCGTGTGAAATACCATGTTTACGCAAAATTCGAGCACGCAATACACGGCTATTATAGTGTTGTGTTGCAGCGTTTGGTTTTTCCAGGGGCTACGTTTTGTTGCAGACACAGCGGGCGACGAGTAATCCAATGTACAGCCGTCATACTATAATATACAATACTGTATAAAATTATGAAATGAATAAGCAACATTAAAAATGCATAATGCAACTACAATGTTAGTTGAAGAATCAGCGTGATGTGACAGTACATTTTGAAAAGCGATTGCTGAAATTAGGCACGTTTTAGAGGGAATTCATAAAGCCCGACTTGGCGTGTTTTTATGATTGGCCCTAAGCCTTTACAATACCTGATGAATTACGTAACTGCCGCTATGTAATGTTCGCGGGATTACTCGCACTATTTGCACGGATTCGTTTTTTTGTAACGTTCCTTTGGGGTAACTAACGTACACAGTTTTCCGAATTGAACTGTCAAAGGGGTGCCATTATAATCCGTTTCCATGGTGACATAATTCTCAAGTGTACACAAAAGATACATACCACAGTGTCACAGTTACGACGCCTTCTAGGTTTTCATGTTTCAATAAACCTCGGAAGGAAAAAAAAGTAATAATGGTCGTCTGATCATTTTATAAACGTAAGGGATGATTACGAAAATGCATCCATGTCTAGTATATATGGGGCATCTAATAAGTTATTATACTACACGCAATTCTTGTAGGTAATATAAACTCGCATTACCTTGATTAAGCACACACAAAACGTCTGGGTTTAATTTAATCAATTTGCATATTACATAGACAACCGTCGAATTATAGATTCAGTGTTGCAATGAAGACGTTCAAAAGTTCAATTAGATCTGCCATTATGTTTATTCTAAAGCAGTTAGGAGTTGATGAGTGGCTGGCGGTCACGTAATTGCATAACGTTACTACAAATACTTATCTAGGAAATGTGATTATACCTCCTTGCGTTTGAAAGCGGAGTGGTCACTTAAGGGGAAATATAACATATTAAATAATTATTAAATTATAAAATTGTTGCTTTAGTGTGTACATATAGGAAATATTTTTCAAAAATCACCATAACAATATTTCTCAGGACACCTTATTTTCCCGTAGATGTTTGTGTAACATGTCAATTTGGCGTTTGCTGTTTAAAACTAGCTGGAATTGTGGTAAACTGAGCCTTTGCTTATATAGAAACTAGATAACGTTTTAGAGCAAAGCATCACGGGTCTGTATAAATTATTCTTTACGCCCTTCAATTAAGCATTTATGATATATATTATTTTTAGTACAGAATAATACGGAGAAATCAAATATTTAATATATAAATGCTTATGCCGGAATATATCAGCTGTTGATGCGACAAAACCAAATCATTTGTTGTCCGTATGCAAATAGGTGTGTTAAAAACCACGATTTTTCGTTGAAATAAAAATGTAGTAAATTAAAAATAGTGCGTGACTTTTTGTATCGTCATGGTGATCTACTAAAACATTAACCTCACACAGTTATTATTTACGGTTTATATTAGTTTGTGAACATTCTCGATAAATAATATCGCACGGTTGCATTTTGATATTTAATATTAAAATTACATTACGAATATACTCAATTGAAACCTGATTGTTGTTGGATGCATGATACTGTATACGTGATCCCACAACTATAAGTAGTTGGCTGCGTAAGATGAATACCAATTAATTGCGAACAGCGTGGAATGTTATACTGGATATATACTAACCGATATTGATATAGTCAACATGGTATACGTATTGTATCCATGCGCTAAATTATTGAGACACTGTATTTCGAAACATGAGCCCTTTGAGGATTACAGGAAATAGTATTGCTCCCATGAATCATTTAGCGAGTAGAATACTTGAGTGGATCAGTGAGGACTGTGAATGAATTTAGTGGAATGGTCCAGAAAGGTGTGAACCCACTGTTGTGCAGTCCACTTGGGAGAAACGGATACTATGGGTTAAGTGTGTCCAGTTAAATATGTGTGAATTCAATTAGATGAGTTAGGGAGGTATGATGGGCTGGATGAGTCAGGCACATATGGATAAAGCTGGTGAAAATGCATTTTCCCTGGCATTTTCGAGAATTAGTTGAGCCCAACACTCCTGCAAGATGACAGCCTGAAGGTGTAAGGTGAGAACGCAGATCAACGCGGGGCTTCTTGCGATTTGTTTTGTTTTGCCAAGCGTTAGTTGACCTGATGAATAGAAATGCCCCCATTGCGGGACGTACACACGTACGTTGTGAGCCCATCTGTGAGAGACGTGAGCACATATATTGACGCGTTATTTCATCCATACGTAATGAATGATGTTGTCCCAAGTCTGTTACGATGACAATCCCGGCACAGATTCCAACTCCCATCTCGATACACTACAAATCACTTTTTCCAAGGTCGTGACGATAGAAATACGTGTGACAAGACTATCAAAGTGTGCAATCCCATATAAAAATACGTTATTAACCCCGCTACATGTGTATATGAGGCGTCTGACTGTTTGAACAGAATTGATTGTGCGATCTTTGACATGGATCCACGTAGTCTAATGATCTTGTTTGGTTGTTTTTAATGAAATAATTGAAAGAAAAATGACAAGGAACAAGATTACCTCGTTTGATAATAAATAACCAATGGTGCCCTACCACCTACTGGCGTACTTCTGTGAATCCATTGTTGACAATGCTAAAAAGTGAATGTAGTAAGCTAGTTGTTTCCTGTTGTTGGTTGAATGCTGAATTTAGCGATTAATTTTGATTTTATGTAACTTGTCATTTATCAATCAATCTGAACCCTTACCTCCTTCGGCCGAGGTCAATGAAGTCTTTATAATAGCAGTCGCCATTAGCTGGGTTGATTTCATCTGAATTAAGTTTGCGTGTCGATACTAATATCTTAAAACCGTTTAAGTATGGTCACTCTGGACAAATGAGTCAAATCAGTTGTTCAAATATCATGTCTTCTATGCTTGAAAATTATTGCGCTTGATTAAGTGTATGTTATCTGGGTTTCTGGTGATTAAAGATCTATCGTTTCCGGTGATTAAGGATCTATCGTGTCATGTGCGTTGAGCTGGAATTGATTGATTGCATCGTGTACATTATTTTGATTCCATGCATAGCTTACATTTAGAATTACGCAAATCTTCTAATAAGTTTGTCGCCATGGGTTACAAACAACGTTCTGAAATAATTGTTAATATATTCTTTGTATCATTACATTATTTGGATTGACTGCGATCGGGATTCCCGGGGTCGTTATAAATGAATGGGATTTCACTAGAAATGAACAACATTAAATATATATAAATAGTACATGTAAGACTAATAATGAAAACCGAGTGTCAATGAATGCCACTTACAATACATTTTTGATGGGGATTACAGAAGTAGTCGAGTCTGTAAACCCTGTATACATATTTTTTTAGTACGATCAAGTAATCTTCAAATAAAAACAAAATAGTGTAAATCAGCAGAGAAATTCCAATGTTTTGATGCATGTGTAAGTGCATTTAAAATTCATGCCGTGTATTTTAAATTTCGAGGTTCCTTATAATTCCACGCACACTATTTAGAATAAATAGAGCGAAAAGGATTGCATACATTTATATACGTCCCATCACTTTCACAGAAATTTGTCATCGATCTAGCAAGAAGCCCTTGCACTTCTGCTTGGCATAACACATTACCACTTTGCGAGTCTGATCTGTAATTTGAGCTAGTTATCCTAATTGCTAGACAATTGCATATCCGCAAACCCTTTGTAATGCCTGGAAATTGAAATGAGTTTGTAATTCGTGGTACTTGTGGTGTCTTGGGCCAATTTAACGCTTCTAAAAATCTCAAATCGATAATGTCACGGATGTATGAACACAGATTCGTGTGTTGGCATCGCATCGCTGGATTAATTCACGCATAACCGACTATACGTTCTTGATTAGAATGGTCTATGTAATTATATCTGTTCCGCTCTTGGACTAGAAAATAAATGAAATAACTTTTTTTTTTCAAATACACAACAGAATCTCCAGTTTTGTTTGTTTGTTAGATTCACACTTAAATATTGTTGGGATGTGATTTATTTATAGTAAATAAAATAATTCAACTGAAATAAGAAAGTGTTACCGTATTGATGTGAGTACGATACATTAGTATCACAAGAGTATTAGATGAACCAAACAAAGGGAAATTTCAGTAAAGTTTAATATATTCACAAACATTCACACGCACGAATAATCTTGTAAGAGCTATAATTTTAGTATCCATACCATTAAATGCCCCGAAGTTATTCCATTGTATTATTGTGCATTGCAGAGTTAAAGTCTTCTGTGAAGGGGAATTTTTACACAATATTCTGGAGCATCAGTTTCTAGATTCGCCTGAATGGGAATCTTACCACAACGAGACTAACGAGTCCGACGTGTTTCAGGTGAGCTTTTTCACAGTACTTCTAAACACTGACCCGGCGCACAGAACTCATGTGCCATTCAGATTTCAAGATTTCGTATTTATTCAAGTGTTAACAGCATATATTGTAAAAAAATAACATTGTACTATTTGGTTTAGCAACACAGCACATAGTTTACGGACCTTTGAAAAATGGTACATGGCGTTATGCTTTTAAGTACTTTTGAAAACGTATATTGTTGTTGTTAATCGCATTATTTCAGAAGTGCTAAACATTTAAGAATGTGTTAACACAGCAGTATCATGAACACGTGAACAAACACGTAAATAAACATACACCTCGGACGCCTGATTGAAGAGTTCCGAAACACAATCTTCCGTAGATGAGCTTTACGTGAATTTTTCATTAGCATAATGACGTCACCCAGTTCCCAATTAAAGGGCACGTTCAATTAACTTCGTCAGTCTATGCTGTCTCCGGTATAGGTATACAGTCTAAACCAGACTTCGGAAAGAGATATCGATTTATTCTCTGCAGTGTTCAGCTTGACCAATTCAGAGTACCGTTTCCAGTCTTGCGATAACAGGGTAACAGCGTGCCAGCTGCAGACTCTCTATCAATCAACTGAATATTCCCACTTCGTGTCGGTAAATTTATATACGTAATCGGTATTCTTCTCCATTCTCAACTGTTTTCTACTGGCAATTAATCTGGATAAGAACTGCTTGTAAAACATTAAAGTCTATTCAGTAATAGATCTAGCTGGGGCCCACGGTAGGTGTTGTCGTTCGAAGTTGTACGAGTCGGTGACATCCCTTTGGTGACATTTGCGTCGCATGACCTATCATATTTCAAGATACAACATGCTCAACAAGAAAACAAAAAATGTGATTAGGACCAATCCACTTTCTAACGCTCTGTAACCATAATTTTGGAAGAACAACCATCTGTTGAACCGAGCTTGTTTTAGTAATTCTCTTCTGATAATACAAAGTTGTCGATTCTAATAGCAAATTTATGTGTGCGTCAACGCAATTTATATTGTCATCCATTGCCAACAAGTTCCCCGATGCTCCCGAACTAATTTTGCGCTAACGTTCCTACTAACACAACTGAGTTTATTGATTGAAATGCTAACCATTGTCATTCTATGTGCAATCCCCTTTTCCAAGTTCGCAAGTTCATGTTTTCCATTCTGCTTCCCTTTCATTTTGCCTTTCCATGTAGATGTTTTATAAGGTAAGCACGTAATTTGGCGACGTTTTCCCCTCTTTCACTGTCCAATACATATACGTGAAACTACAATACTGGTAAGGGTATGCATGCATACTTGCAATTAATTCTATAAGGTGAATCAAAGTCATCATGTTATATATCTATAATGTTTATATATACATTTGCAAATAAATCTATATCGTGAAACAGAAAATAGCGAGTGATAGCCCTTGAAATAATTTTCTGTAAGGCACAATTTCAAAGTTACCTGCGCCCCTTTGAAAACGTAGGTTTGTTTGCATTTTTTTTCTTTTACCTATGAAGAAATATTATTAAATGGTCGTCGCGCTACGCATGCGTGCGATATGGGGATCGTATAAACAAAGATGGCGGCTTTTATTTTTGCTCAGGCAAACTGAGACATTACAAAGCTTTAATTAGGTAATTTGTTGTTGACTGGAAGGTATAGAAGGAGTCACGGGTGGTAATAGTGCATTTCGTGACCATCATTAGAAAAATGTTGATGGTGGGAAAATCAATGTTTATCAACACATATGCAGCACATGCGCTGCAAACGACCAAAATTGAAGGTGTCTGAAATGAGCAAAAATCATTTGCGTAATTTTGCGTAATTTATGGACATTAATGAAAACAAAATGGTTAATGTTTAATACAAACAAATCTAAATTTTAGGAATCAGACCCAGAACTATCTGTAATAGTTTATATGAAAGTTTTCCATCCATTCTATATGACGAAACGGAAATGTGATATCTGTAAGAATATGAACATTTGCAATTAATTCTATAGGGTGAAACAGAATACCATGAAATATCTGTCATCATGTATATGAACATTTGCAATTATTTCTATAGGATGAAACATAGTACCATGTAATATTTGTCATCGTTTATATGGACATTTGCAATTAATTCTATAGGGTGAAACAGAATACTATGTAATATCTGTCATCGTTTATATTGACATTTGCAATTAATTCTATAGGATGAAACAGAGTACCATGTAATATCTATCATCGCATCGTTTATATGGACATTTGCAACTAATTCTATAGGGTGAAACAGAATACCATGTAATATCTGTCATCGTTTATATGGGCATTTGCAATTATTTCTATAGGGTGAAACAAAGTACCATGTAATATCTGTCATAGTTTATATGGGCATTTGCAATTAATTCTATAGGGTGAAACAGAGTACCATGTTATATTTGTCATCGTTTATCGTTTATAGGCATTTGCAAAGGATTCTATATGGTGAAACAAGAAGACAAACATGTAATATCAATCATCTGTTATGTAATCTACAATCAAGCATTATTAAAGACATTTTCAAACAATTCTGTAGTGTGAAACAAAAATACCATGTAATTCATACGAGTGTATATAAACATTCGTAATCAATTCTACATGGAAAAATTCAAATTGCTTGAAAGTTCAAAAATGTGACCCAGCGCTGATGGATACTATGGTATAGCATACATGTATATCACCGTTCACAGGAATTTGTGTCATTATTAGTTTACTGATTAATTATGCAGGAATATATTTTAATTTTATGTTCAATTGTTGTGTATCGTGGTACAACGATGGAACTGGTTAAATACACAGTTCAGTTATCCCATGCAAATTCGGAAATTTTGGAATATAAAATCTTCATTGTACTTGGTTTTATGACAACAATGAACGGCATTGTGATAGTAGATGCGTTCGTTTAATGTTAGTATACGTCTTCTTAGGTCGCACGACTTTTTTAACTGTAGTAGCTTGATATGATCGACGACATTTACAAAAACGAGTCCATTTCGACGGCAGTAGCATACGTGGATCTAAAATCTTATTTTTTTTTAGCCCTGAGTGTGGAGCTTTGCATGATAAGTTTGTATCAAATCAATATACATTAAAATTAATACATGATCTTACGATAACCTTCTAAAATATGTAATTAACAAGCTATAATTTTATGGGCGCTAGAGACTCCCACATATAATGGCCGTAGTATATACTAATAGCAAGTACAGACGAGTTTGTTAAGTTTCAAACTATTTTGCACACATTTTTATAAAATAAATAATTCTCGGAGAGAAGATTTATATGCCACAGTTGTAGTAAAATTGTTTGACAATATATGCGATATTTTAACTATGAATTTCTATTCAGATCTCTTACACTTTGCGACTTTAACCTTGAAGTCTACACGTGTTTATAGAGTATAACCATATTCAATGATACACACTATCCCGTAGCCTGCAGTCCCATTGTCAAATACATATGATCAGCCTGTTAGAAGCAACTTGATATGAAAATCCTCTGTGACATACACTTCATATCAAATTTCCCCAAAGCACCACCTTGACACAAGCTTTATACAATGCCCTACAGAAGAGATCTGGAAAATAATAGCTGTTGAGTAACCTTGAGAAGTAACTCGTAATTCCTCTGTGTTTATTTTGATTTCGAAAGTTATATTGTTCGAATATAATATAATATCTCATTATATTGCAATTAACCCAGTATCATCAAAGTTGATGGCTGCCAAGTATTTGTTCAGTTATTTATTACTTTAACTTAGCAAAAAAAAAAAAAAAAAAAAAAAACGCAATGTACATTCTCAACGTTGACTAGAGGGAGATTTCCACAAATTCGAGTAATTTTAATTCCATCAGAACGACAGCAAGGTATGTTCTCTGAAATCATATGCTTGATTGATTGTTTGCTTGAGCAAGACATCTTCCTCAACGTTCATGACAAACATATTCCCACGCGGCTGGCATCATACGCGGTGAAAACAGAAGCCGCATATGTGTTGTAATTAACAAGCATTTTCGTTCCACGCATGCGCATATCGGCATGCTTCGGATAATATAGCAATTAATAGGGTCGACCTAATAGCTTTAATGAGAAACAAATTAGCATCACTTCAATTGCTGATTAATATGCAAAGTAGATGTCATGTGGTCCCTTTTCTAGTCCGCCACTGATTGTAGATACATCCTCTCAGCTATTGGGTGCATATCATTAATACAATAAAGGTTGTATGTACTTTATTGATTCAGCGGCCTCTACGTAAGATAGATTCATATTTGCAATTCGCAGATGCAGTCCGTGTATGTACCGCAGGCATGAATAATCGATGTCATTTTAATGGCTTGTACACCTTTAACATTTCGGTCTTCTCGCTCTCTGCTGCTAAACATGCATCACTTCTGTGGTTCATCTGGATCTGGGAATGATATCAAGACTAATATAACATGCACGTCAATGGTTTTGTCGATTCTTCACCTTGAATGCGTGCGTACATGTATATTAATTTGGCGTATCGAATAAATTAATGCTGTCATCTATATGCTATAACTTGTGGCACATTCTGTAACGAGGACTGACTCGAATCAAATTGATATCGAGGGCTGAACAATGTCCCCGGTGTAATCACATGGCTTTGCCGTGGTGAGCCGAGCATTCATTACACTGTCTAACTCATGTGACCTGTCACGACCACGACCATAAATCAAACTTTTGTAACTGCTCAATACAATATGAATGCGTTTGCGTCATTGTGACAGGAGACTCAGTCTCGCGCTGACAAGCATCATTACAGATTAATGACCAAAAAATAATCAGACACACATGCACAATGTCGGGCGTAGTACGGGTCGTATCAGATACACTCTCGGTAGGGGGGGTGGTGGTTATTCTATTCGTGGCTATTACGTAAGCATATTACTGTGTCGACAACACTTGTGACTCGGATCTTTCAATGTAATTACCCTTCTATCTTCACGTGAGGTGCTATTCAGTTGCAGAAACGTTATAATTAGTTCTTCTCTGATGCAGGTACTGTGTAGTTAGTCTAACTATAGTGACTAAAATATTCATCAAAGCGAATTGGTGACTGTGCAAGCTGTGGAGGAACAAGCATACAGTTTGCTTATGTAATTGAACTGGAATGGAACTTGTTGAATGCACAGTTCAGTTATCCCATGCAAATTTGGAATTGTGTAATATATATACCTTGCCCGTATTATCAAAGATGAAAGGGAAAGGTATATTAATGGAAAAATGTCTGTCGTTGTCGTCGACGTTAATGAATGATAATGTGTGCAAAATAACTTCACTAATTCTACTCCAAACGCTATCAAAAATGGTCACCTAATTCATCGGTATAAAGTCTTCCCTTAGTATGAATGAAAGATGTCTTGTGTGAAAATATCATGCACAAATTGAGAAAATCTGATAAAATATTTTGAAAAATGTCAGACTGAATTGAAATTAAAACAAAACGTGATTATTTAATCACCTTATGTACAATATATAAAGGCATTGCAGACTTTGAAGGTCACGTGACTATTGTCTGTGTGACTATCTGTTGTTTTGAGACACTGCAAAACTGTTAAAAAAACTCGTCTACACAATGGCTTGGACGATTGACACCTTTCAAGTTTGAGAACAAAAATAATAAGTCACGTGATTGGGCAGCCATATTGAATTAAAATTAAACAGGATTTTTTCTGATCTGAATTCTTCATGGTATTTATATATAAGTTCATGAACCAATGCCACATTTTAGGGGATATACATCTCTCACTTGGTTTAATTAAACGTGTTTTAGAGACCAGAAAATGTTGTTTCAGTCACGCTTTGATAATTCATTCAAAATGTAAGTTTACAACAATTCTTTCGATAACAATTATATTTGTTGAATAGGTAACCCTGACTGCAACCACCTACTGCCGATTCATGTCATGGACACGAAGGAACCTCCAGATCCTGCTCAAAGAGGATGAATACCTGGGAACTGTCTTCTCAAACCTGATTGGCAAGGACATCACCAAGAAGCTGTACCTGTTGACCGAGAGGAATATCACAAGAAAAGGCTCCAGGCCTGACATTCGTCTCCCAAGTGCCGGTAAACAACCGCCTCCTAATTACGACTTAAAGGGACATTTAGCTGCGGGTATTAGAGGTGCATGCGGTGTTGGGCTTCCAAATTATGGGACGAGTTACGATCCTGTGAGGGACTACGAGGGTAGGTGGTATGGAGTCGTCACACCATAGCATGCCTCTTGTCCATCCTCCACCTTTAGTTGTCATATCTAGGACACCATAAAGTCGAATATCTGCATGCCCTCTGCCTGTAGTACAGTGACGCTAATGTAGAATGTGTGTCGGTTGCTGTTGGTAACTGGTTACTGTACAATACTAGCACTCATCTGTAAAGGTCAAATGTTCGAACTGAACATCTTATGCTTGCTTTCATGCTATGGTATGTTCTTTATTCCCACGGCCCCCACATAACGGTCTTGTTACCGTGTACTTACATGTCAAGCGTACATTAGCGACAGTGTACTTAGTGTTTGAATCGATATACAGTAGCTGTAGCATCCCTTGGTCACTGTTCAAAAGTGTTCAGTAGTCGGGACATATTTTGCACTAACACGCTGCCTTATATTTGTGTATGTATTTGAAACAAAAAGAAAGTTTCTTTCAACGAACCAAATGAGGCATATTCGTGATATCACCTTATTTGGGCATATTTGTTTATTGGTTGTTTATTTACTCAAAAAATACAGTTAAAGCCTACAACTTCAATATCAAACATGAGGAGAATGATGTGCCTTAGTTATTGATTCTCATTTGCTCATATCCCTTCCCTCCAGCATTTTGTTTGCATCTTGACTCGGGCATGGCATGTTTTATTTTTCTCAGCACGCTTTGAAATATTTGTGTTGCCTTTCTCCATTTTTTTTATTTTTTTTAAATGTAATTATATCTTTCAGCTTATCAAGAAAATCCCGCTTTGTTTGAGGAACGCTTTCACGATGATCGAGCACCTTTGGCGAACACACACGAGGTGGCTTAGCGCATATATGTTTTTTTAAAGTAATTAGCCACATACAATGATTATTCCTATCGTATTTATAACCAACAGAAAATTTTTCCTCATGTTTGTATATCCTGTAGGTGAACTGTCTCCATAGCAATACGCGCAATACTGAACACCCTTAGCAATACGAATACAGCAATTATCGCCTGCAGGATTCGGTTTCCATGGTTACATACGGAAGTGATGGAGTTTGGTTGCTTCGTGTTCCAAGTTGTATAATCTGTGGAAGAGCTGACAAGGAGGAATCTGTACGAATTTGCATTCATGTTACCAGCTCGCTTTCGTCATTTTCGCAATGTGTGCAAATCGTTTCCATTCAATCCATATTCAATTTATTTTCGCGAAGCAAATCGATTTGAATGTTACGACACGATGTCAGATAGTTGTGTTTCATCGCTTCGCCATCTGTGTAGCTGCAATGTGTTCTGAAGACCTCATTTTATTTGAACAAACCGAACTTGACGTCAGAGGAAGGTAACTTAAACAGATCCAGTTGATTTATGATTTCAACTTGTGGCAGGATAATACGTGTTCAGCCGATTGCTTCCATCGTGATTCCATTAGCAATATTTGTTTGGTGTTTCTGATTCGATTTGGTGCTAACAGATTATTAGGGGATTTGTTAATTTTGTATGCTAACATGAGCATTTTAAAATGACTAATTTTATTTACATTCAGACATATCACTGCATCAACACTAAGGTTCATTGTTTTGTGCGAGAAATTTGCAAAAAAATATGTAAAAGTAAAAATAGCTTGATCAAAAAAATTAAACATGGATCAATTGACATGACAGTTCACATTGCAGTTGAATTCCACGCTTTAATCTGAGCGGCGCTAGCTTTTTGGCGGTGTCGCGCGCGTCACGCCCATATTTGCGCTTATCATTTCCGATCTAATGTTCAATGCTTTTTGTGAAAGAGACTCAAGATATGCAAACAAATTAACAATATTTTTGCTGTGTTTTTGTCGTAAATTTCTTTATAACGGAGCATGGGTTGACGAAATATCAGCGATAATGCGTTTTAAATGTGTAGACGTTACAACACACGTCACAGTTTCGGCGTACGAAAGATTGTATCTTAGCTGATTGAATTCTATTTTTAACAGACTGAGTTTTCGATCTCAGCATAATAGATTTGGAACAGACAACTACGCACTGTTGTGTGTCGTTCCACGATATCCGCGGTGCCGAGCTGCAATAAACTACTCGTTGGTATTTTCGCGTAAATTGTCATCCTGTTTAAGAGACACCACATTCACCATGTCAGTAACATGCCCGTATAACATCATAAAATTGCTAGAATTGGAAATCAACAATGTTGATAAATCTCATTTCGCAATACTATAACTAATTATGAGGTCATAAGAAGCTGCCTAACTAAGTAGGAAATATGTACGATTTCATACACCCATTATTAGGCATCTGGTAATGTTAATTTATTGATTGAATGTAGCAAGCTTCGATCTCAAATAAATATAGAAGCGGCAAGCGGTCTCAAGTTTAAGATCGAACAGCAAAAATGTAATTTGTTAAAGAACTGTTTCAATTGGCCATCAATTTCATATGATAATTCTCTTTCATGAATAATTTTCTGCCCTGAACATTCACATATAGATTCCTTTCACGGGACGAGACGAGTTATATTGAGCGTTTTTCAAATATGATATTTTTATTGATTTTGTCTTGACAAAGACACTCTCTAACCAATGCCAAATGTGAAACCATGTTATATTCGTGTTAATATAGTTTGGATAACTGGGTATTTTTTTTAGTATTTTCGTTTTGCTACGAATATCGCTTGTGTAATGCAAACATTGTTTTAGGGCATTTTTAAAACCGCAGTCACGCATGCGCTTTTAATTTATAGTACATACCAACAAATACGTTCACGAATAGCTAAAATCAAGTGTATGTATGAACATGTGCAAAAACGAGCAACTGAAAAAAATACTCGAAGTTATCCATAAAAAAATGTTAATACCGCCAAATAATAAAACAATCAACGAGGAAACAATAAGGCGAACGCAATTGAATCGGATACAAATTAAGTCAGGAAAATCTGCAATTTGATCTCTAAAAATAACCATGCAATCGATGTACGGCTAACTTTGCATTGTAGCGGTTTTCCTGTGAGTGTTTTAATCGCTCAACCTGATGAGCACCCGAGGAAATGACAGTAATTTGAGACACTTCTTCAAGTGATATTAAAATGGTGCTAGCATTACAACGTTTTTAATAACAACCTTTTTTTATACAGACTAATCCGTGTGGAGTTCAACAATCTGCAGTGTAATTAATGTAGGGGTAGTGTATTACCGAATTTTACGATTATATTACTAACCATGGCGTTATAAGATAGCAACTAATTATACCAAAAATAAATTGAACATTTGGTGACCTGGTTCCCGGAGACTCTGGTTGGTGGATTTTTTTTTAATTTCAACCAACTTGGCCAATTGACTGACACATATTCATTTAAGAGGTTACCCATTGAACAACTGGAGGATGCCGGGATTGAATGCAGTTTCTGCAAATATTTTATTTCTATTAGTATGACGACAAACTACCCATCCCATTCTTCTCCAAAAATGTTCAAGTTCTGTTTTCAAATGGAGAACCCAGGCAACAAATGAATATGTATACGTTTTTATTGTCTCTGGGAAGCCTGGGCGTTTTAGAAGGATGAATACCGTTCTCTGAGTATGTGTACATCGACTTGCAAAATGGTGTCATTTTTTTTTAAAAAATCGGTGTATTCGAGCTAGGTCATAATGGCTTGCATGCTTCGGGTGACTGATTAAAATACACTTTTCATATAATTTGCGCCCTCGGAACGGAACATGTGTGACGTGTTTGGGTGGACAAGACGCCATATTGTTTTGATTACTAGAAAGTTACCGAAGTCTATATGACGATCGACTGCACAAACAGAGTTGTCATTTAAAACGGCGTTAGTTATACCCATCTACGTCACTCTGACGTCATACAAGCGTTTCGCCACAAGAGGGCGCGACTTCTTTGAAATGTGTATTTGGAGGAGATGTGAGATAGAACAATTAATATAGCACCAAGCTTACATAACTTTGTAATGATCATCTGGAGCAAGTGATGCCCACTAAGACTTCCACATAGGACTCACTTGAACCGAACATCTGAAACGGTCTGGTGTATTTCGAAACAAATTTTACTATTTCATCTATTATATACTACAGTTATGAAGTGTTTTAAATGATTTAATAAACGATTTTTCACTGAATATTTATATTCAATGTGTGTTATATTGACTTCTGTTAAGATGTGTAAATTTTCAGATGACCCCCCCCCCCCCGTACTGTACACCTCCTATTCCGTCCCCAGGATACTACTCTCTCGGTTTATGTATGAACCCTATACTTTTTTTTTTATTTAAACAATATTTTTATTTCGTTTCAATAATGGACATACAGCACAAAATATACGGATGTACGGATACCCTATACGGATGTACGAGACATTACATGTGTGTGTGGTTTAGTAGAGCAACGGCGACACCCTTCTCCCACTCTATTAGGAGGACACTCGGCAGCCTGGCTGCACAGTCCTCATACGTTAGTAAACGTGCGACTATCACCTACTTCTTGTGGTCTCATTTCCGGTATAACACAACCAAATTGCATACACGTACTAGGGTTTAGCAATATGAACGTACTACATCTATCACGTGACGCTAAAATGACGTATATCAGGAGAGTACAAAGAAAGAGAAATAAAACCATGAAAAGATGGGAAAATCGGATCGGCGAAACGTCATTAGAAATGAACTTATTAAGTTCAACAAGAATAAAAGGTTAATTGTTCAGAGTTCACAATCAAGGATTTTTTTTAATTAAATCAACTACAATTTCTTAGCATCACATAATTACATTACTTCCCATGGCCCGCGGTGGTACAAGTGAGTTCTTTAGAAGTGTATTCCCAGTGTTTGTCACAGTGTCACGTTCACTTATGTCCAGTAGCTAAAAGCACGTTGCTTGTCAATTTGCCGTTTCATTATAAATATATGACGGGCGTGAGATGGTCATAGACATATAATTGTGCTGACACACAAGCTCGTGCCGTGGATTCACCAAATTCGAAGCTAGTCGATTTCGTGGGTTGAATAGCTGACTGGGTCTTGTGTTTCGCTGGTTTTGGAATCCTCGCAATGTACGTAATCTTAAATCACGTGGCAATGTGTTCAGGGCAGCTATTTGAAATTAGGGCTCTCTTTCGGGAACGAGTAAATTACTGGATAGCTACACTAGTACATTATCACCCCCGCCTGAATACAAATGGTTTGCCCCTAGCTTTATACTCGTTTAATTACTTTTCTTAGACTATTAAATACGGCTTGACAGAAATATCATAAATTCGTTTAAATGACAATGAAAAAACAACATTTCTTTTATGAATTAGTAAGAAATTGATCTTATAGCAAACGCAACTCACAGTAATATTGATCGCTAATGAGCAGATCGCGTGACTAAATATTATGCTTACATAGGGATAGACCCAATTATAAGGTATGTGCTTTTAATACGTTTTAGGGTTCATCCAGTGTATTCTGACAATTTTTCACGACTTGTCAATTAGTGTTACATGTCACGTACGTGTCAGTCGAACTGTGTCTCAAATAACGAGCGAGAAGGGAAATCTGTGAAATATTTCTAAATTCGTCTATCATACATTATCGGCGGCATTGAAGACAAAGTTCACGCAGCGCCAAAATACGTTTGTGGTTTGATGACGTCAGTGACGTGTAGCCTCGTTCGAAGAAAAATCTGTGAAGAATTTCTAAATTATCTTATCATACATTATGGAGTTATTGAAGAAAACGTTCACACTGCTCCAAGATACCATTTTGTTGGTCTCTGATGCACGTGATATTTTGTTTGATGACGTCAGCAACGTGGAGCCTCGTTCGAAGTTGGACCACGGCGCGCAAGGTCGTCGT